GGAGGAGGAGGAGGAGGAGGAGGAGGAGGAGGAGGAGGAGGAGGCATTAAATTTATACCCTGCCCTTCACTCAAAGTCTCAGAGTGGCTTACAGTCTCCTTTCCCTTCCTCTCCCCACAACAGACACCCTGTGAGGCAGGTGGGGCTGAGAGAGCTCTCTCTCGAGGGCTGCTCTTGAGAGTACACCTCGCTGGCTTCACGTGGAGGAGTGGGGAATCAAACCCGGTTCTCGAGATTAAAGCCCACCGCTCTTAACAGCGACACCACACCGGCCAGGGAGGGCCTTGAGCCCCAACGGATGACAACTTGAGCAACTCACATTGACAAGATGTGACCAAAGAATCCCCATAAGGTAAACAGAGAGTTGGCAGGGAGACGATTGGGTCCGTTCCTGATAAACAGGAACAACCAGAGGAAACTCCATCAGCCACAGTCTGAAGCGGAGACATTGAATAGGAGCCCTATGAAAGGACTCCCTGAGACCGTCTTGCTCAGGATTGCTACGACCGGAAACAATCCTGGTCTTTCCTGAGATCTTTTTATCTGGAGATGACAGCATTGCTGCGGGGTAGCCGTGTCGGTCTGAAGCAGCGGAGCAAAGTTCGAGTCCAGCGGCCCCCAACTGGGGGCGGGTGGCGGGTAAACCCCCGCTTTGGAGGCCCGATTTCCGCCGCCGCGGAATCGGGCCCCGGGGGGAACTCCGCCCTTCGAAGCGCAGCAAGGCTCCCCCACCGCCCGGGGTCGTTTCGTAGAAAAAGAGCTAGGGGAACATTAGCATAACTCATTAGCATATGCCACACCCCCTGACATCACCGGAAGTGTGTCATAAGGCCACACCCCCTGACATCACCGGAAGTGTGTCATGAGGCCACACGCCCCGCCCCCAATGGTCCCGGCCGCCACCGCCGGCCTTGCAGCTCCACTGCCGAGCCCCATGAGGGGCCCGGCGGTGGACCTGCAAGGCCGGCGGGAGTGCAAGGAAGCCCCGCAAAGGCCCTCCCTGGCCCCAGGCAGGCAGGGGTGGGGAGAGGCAGGGAGGAAGCAACTTACCCTCCCTCTTCTCCTGCCTCCTCCTGGCTGAATGAGGGCCGGAAGCGGGGCGGCTGGAAGCAGGGGGCGGGGCTTCATCATGTGCCCCGCCCCCCGTACCTCACCCGGGGGAACTGCGATCCCCTGCGTTCCCCCCCGAAATGACCTCTGCCCGCCACCAAGGTAAATAGACCTGGCAACCCTATTGAAGACCGACAAAGTTTTATTCAAGGAAGAAGCATGGAATGGTTCTGAAGAGGTCTGTATCTGAAGAAGTGAGCGTGCCCACGAAAGGTTCTACCTTGAATAAAACTCTGTCGGTCTTCAAGATGGGCAGCCGTGTTAGTCTGTCGGTAGCAGCAGAAAGGAGTCCAGCAGCGCCTTAAAGACTTAACAGAATTTGTGGCAGGGGAGGTGCTTTCGTGAGTCACCGCTCAGTGTTCACGCACATGCACCCTAGAGAGCATCACGTAGTTGATTGGGTGTCTCGTCCTGAGGATGGTGTTGACTCACTCAGTGTAATATTCCTTGAGCCCCAGCGAGGAAGGCAGACTATAAATAGTGTAAATAGATTTTTTTAAAAACAAAAGATTCCTGATTGGATTGGGAGGGGAAGGCAGGTTAAACCCCCCCCCCCAACATTGCAAATATACGTAGAAACCAGGGCTTTTTTTTGTAGAAAAAGTCCAGCAGGAACTCATTAGCATAATAGGCCACACCCAACAGCAGAAACTCATTAGCATATTAGGCCACACCCCTGACTGCACCACTCATTAGCATATTAGGCCGCATTCCCATGTTGCCAGAAGTGTGGTCATCCAGCCACACCCACCTTTTGCTTCTTATTCTGTTTACCTTGTTTGTGGTCAAAACCCAGGGCCTTTTTTGTAGCAGGAACTCCTTTGCATGTTAGGCCACACACCCCTAATGTAGCCAATCCTAATGAGTTCCTGCTGTTGGGTGTGGCCTATTATGCCAATGAGTTCCTGCTGGGCATGGTCAACTCGGGAGCCAGCCGGAACTCCGTTCCTGTGCGTTCCTGCCCAAAAATAGCCCTGGTAGAAACTATTTTATTTAGAGTTGTAATATGTGCAATAATATATCATATGTTTTTAAGATGGTTATAAATAAAGAATGTCAAAGAAAAAAGAAGAGAAACTATACGTAGAAGCTCATCGTCACGTGCTAGAAGAAAAGAGCAAGAGTCCAGGAGCACCTTAAAGACAAATGAAATTTGTGGCAGGGGAGGAGCTTTTGTGAGTCAGGGCTCACTTCTTCAGATAGATCAAGATGGGTCGCCGTGTGAGTCTGTCTGTAGCAGTAGAAAAGAGCAAGAGTCCAGCAGCACCTTCAAGACTAACAAACTTTGTGGCAAAGGATGAACTGTTCACTTCTTCATATGCAGCTAGAATGTGAGTCTGTCTGTTCTTATATCTTGGGGAGTGGATTAGTTTCAGATGCTGAATGACAACAGCAGGCGGATAATAGCAGGCAATGACAATCTCAGAGGGAGAGCAGAAAGAGAGACTGCTGAATTGCAACTGAGTATGAAGCTCAAGACAAGGCATCCTCCTGGGCTGAATCGAGACCTAGGCTTCCTGTCTCATTACCAATGCTGATTTCTCCATGCCTTCTACCCCTCCGTACGTCACACCTACTCCAATCACACCTGCTAATGTCATTTGCCTGCTGTTGTCATTCGGCATCTGAAATCACTCCACTCTCCAATTATAGGGACAGATGGACTCACATTCTAGCTGTTTTTGAAGAAGTGAGCAGGGACTCACAAAAGCTCCTGCCTTGCTACTGGACTCTTGCTCTTTTTTACTGCAACAGACAAACTTAATTTATCTCCATGTGCTAGGGCAGGGGTCCCCAACCTTTTTTGAGCCTGCGGGCACATCTGGAATTTGGACAAGGCGTGGTGGGCGCTGCCTTGGGAGGCGGCGGCCACAAAATGGATGCCCCAGGAGGCGGAGCCACCCACAAAATGGCTACCTCCGCTTCCCTTCGATCACACAATGAATATCCTTGTGGCAGCAGTTGCTTCCAATGCAACATTTTTAAAAACTTGCCCGGCACCAGGATAGGTGTCGGGCACCGCTTTGGGGGCCCCTGTGCTAGGGCCAGACCGAAGCCGGACATCGCCGTTGGCCAGTCATCTCCAAGTTCCACTCACCGGGGGTAGCGAGCCGGCTGAGATGGTGCGGGTTGCAGCAGTGGACGGCGCCCTCGCCCCCCGGGCTCCTGCAGCAGCTCAGGCGCTTGAGTTCGTGGGGGTGGCGCAAGTCCGGCCAGCGGTAGAGGCGGCACAGGAGCAGTGGGGCGGGCAGGCCCGGCTTGGACCCTCGCGGCTCCACCCAGACGCAGCCCAGCTCCCCCGCTCCCCGGCTCTCCACCGCCCTCAGCAGCAGCTCCAGTTCGGTGTCCTTCAGCTTCTTGAAGAGGGCGTGGGCGGCCGGTTTCAGGGCCCCGTGGCTGTCATCCGGGCCGGGCGTGGTGCAGCGAAGCCTCCAGAGCCGCTGTATTAAGCCGGCTCGCCGCGATCGGAACATGAGGCTGGAAGCGGCCGGGAAACAATAACAAGACAAATCATGTGTTGGCGGTGAGACGAGAGTGTTCCGAGTACCGCATGTCCTCGTGTGATATTTGGAAAACGCAGATTTGGCCTCTCTGTTGGGCTTCGCCCCCCCCCCATTCTCCAATTGGCCGATGTTTTACGAAATTAACACAACCAGTGATAGACAATGCAGATGACAAGTACCTTCTTAAGAGATACATTTCCCGTAAGGCTTCATACCACAGAGAATGCCTCTTCTAAAAATGGCATCGGAAGAGGCATTCCCTCCTGAGTTAAGAACCGAGAAACCTTCTTCTGGAATCAGAAGAGGCATGCTTTGGGTATGACTGAGAAGAGGGTGCCCCTGCTCAGACAAACGTTTGAGTCCAGTGGCACCTTTAAGACCAACAAAGTTTTATTCAAGGTATAAGCTTCTGTGTGCATGCCAATGTTTGATAGAAGAGGAGTGTCTATTCCAGGATGATACTGGAAGATGCATTCCCTCCAGGGCATTAGAAGACCTCTGACCTGCCATATGCCGCACTCTGCACCCGTTAGGTATCAACAAGCTCTGCACTGTCCCAACAGACTCCGCCCCCTGCTATGCCAAGCACCTCCCCTTACCTCCCAGCCCCCCCTTTCATCTCAGGGTCTTAGTCTGAAGATACTGGGCATCCCTCATCTTAGGGAACGGCTCTTAGGGAATTATCCTAGGGAATGCCCCTTCTTGAACACATGAAGCTGCCTTGTACTGAATCAGACCCTCGGTCCACCGAGGTCAGTATTGTCTACTCAGACTGGCAGTGGCTCTCCAGGGTCTCAAAGGACCAGCTTCCACATCACCTGCTGCCTGGTCCTTTTTAGTTGGAGATGTCGAGGACTGAACCCTGGGGCCTTTCTGCCTGCCAAGCAGAGGCTCTTCCCCGGAGCCACAGCCCCCTACTCAGACATATATGAGAACCCATCACTGGCACTGGTAGTTCGAGGTCATCATCGTTGTTAGAGGGTCCACTGTTGACGACAAGGAGCAGGGGCTCTTCAGTGGCAGCACCCTCACTGTGGAACTCCCTCCCTAGGGAGGCCTGCCAGCTCATTTACAAAAAAAACAACAACCACAACTGAATGAGAAAAGCTGTGGTGGATCCCATCTGGTTCTGAATGCTGATTCCCGCAGTTAGACGCTTCTAGGAAGGCTCCAAGGAGGGCATGAAAGCAACAGCTCTCCTTTCCCCCGGCAGCTGATATGCAAAGGTATACTGCCTCTTAATATGGTGGCTCCATACCTCTAGTGCAGTGGTGGCGAACCTATGGCACGGGTGCCAGAGGTGGCCCTCAGAGCCCTCTCTGTGGGCACGCGTGTCATTGCCCCAGCCAGGCCCAGACCATCATTAAAGTGTCGACTTCTCTGCCAAATAATTTTAAGTAAATGAAAGCATTTGGGATCCTTACTTTGTTTGGATCATCTTAAGTTAATGTATGAGTTGTTTTTTCTAAAGTAAAACCTCAGTATTCAGGTTAAAAGAAGATCAAATCAGTCAATCCTAAAAGAAATCAACCCTGACTGTTCCCTGGAAGGCCAGATAATGAAACTGAAGCTCAAATACTTTGGCCACCCAATGAGAAGGGAGCACTCACTGGAGAAGAAGACCCTGATGCTGTGAAAGATTGAAGGTCAAAGAAGACGGGGACGGCAAAGGATGCGGTGGTTAGACAGTGTCATAGATGCAACGAACATGACATTGAGCCAACTTCAGAGGACGGCGGAAGACAGGAGGGCCTGGCGGGAGCTGGTCCATGGGGTCGCGAAGAGTCGGACTCGACTGTGCGACTGAACAACAAATTCAGGTTAAATTGCCGTGTTGGCACTTTGCGATAAATAAGTGGGTTTTGGGTCACAGTTTGGGCACTCGGTCTCTAAAAGGTTCGCCATCACTGCTCTAGTGGCTCAGAACACTATTGTTGGCTCCTTCTAATCCAGCATCCTGTTTCCAAGAGGGACCAGCAAGATGCTTTCTGGATACTGCGTGTCCCCGCCCCACCCTGCAAGACACGTGCGTGTAAAGTGCTACCAAGTTGCAGCCTACTTAAGGTGACCCTGTAGGGTTTGCAAGGCAAGAGACATTCAGGGGTTGGTTCGCCATCGCCTGCCTCTGCATAGCGACCCTGGACTTCCTTGGTGGTCTCCCGTCTAAGCACTAACCAGGGCTGATCCTGCTTCGCTTCTGAGATCTGACAAAATCAGGCTGGCTAGGGGCATCCATGTCAGGTCCCTGAAGTGGTGGTCAGATGTATATCACCTCTCACGAGATGCGTTTCCATTTAGCTATGGAAGCTAATAATCATTAATAGACTAATCCCCCCCCCCATGGATTTGTCTAGATCCCTTTTGAAGATGGTTAGAAGGGGAACGACTTATCCCAGAGCCAGGAGGCAACATCAGGAGAAGGCCTCGGCATCTATGCCCTGTTGTTTGGTGTAGTTTGGTGTAGTGATTAGGAGCACAGACTCTAATCTGGGAGAACCGGGTTTGATTCCCCACTCCTCCACATGCAGCTGCTGGTGTGACCGTGGGTCAGTCACAAGTTCTCTCAGTGCTGTTCTCTCAAGGGCAGTTCTTGAAAGAGTTCTCTCAGCTCCGTCTGCCTCACAGGGTGCCTGTTGTGGGGAGGGGAAGGGGAAGGAGATTATAAACTGCTCTGAGACGCCTTCGGGTAGTGAAGGGTGGGGTATAAATCCAATCTTTCTTCTTGTTGGCCGTCCAGAGGAATTGGCTGGCCACTGTGTAAGACAGGATGCTAGATTAGATGGACTATTGGTCTGATCCAGCAGGGCTCTTCTTATGTTCTTATGGAAAGGGAGAATTCCACCCCCACCCCCCGCAAGGACAGATACAGATGGGTAGCCGTGTTGCTGATCTGAAGCAAGCAACAGGACGAAGTTTGAGTCCAGCGGCACCTTTAAGACCAACAAAGTTTAATGCTGGGTATAAGCTTCCGTGTGCATGCACACTTCTCCAGGAGGCTTATACCCAAAATAAAACTCTGTTGGTCTTAAAGGTGCCACTGGACTCCAACTTTGCTCTGCTGCTTCAGACCAACAACACGGCTACCCACCTGAATCTATTTTATTTTTGTTGTTATGCTAAGCCACCTTAAAGGCTCTGCAGAGCCATTTGGGGGTGGGATATATAACTCTTCAAAGGAGTGGGAATAAAAAAGTCTAAACTACCTCACAAGACTGTTGGGAGGATAAAAGGGAGGTAACCCTCCTCCTCTTACTGGCCATCCTGAGAAAGGGGGGAAACGATCTGATCTGAACGTGTCAGATCAACAGCAGGGTAGGAAATATTTGGAAGCACACCCATGCCTGCCCTTGCTCACAGATCTGAAAACAGGTATGCACAAAATCTGTCCGAAGTCTGATGCAAGCGCATACTTTTGCCAACCGGCACATGTATTCCAGGCGGCACCAGTCGGGCTTTCACAAATGCGGCTGCACAGCAAACAAAATCCAGCAGAACAATTCTGGGTCCGCGCATCGATTTGTTTGCACACGCCGCGCAACACGCGGATAGACATCAGCTGTTATCAGCAACGGGCGATGTCAGAGTTTACCTGAGTCTGGGAACTCCACCCCCCCCCCAGTGTTCCCTCTAAGCTGTGCATGGATGAGCGGCCGCTCATTAACCCAGGAAGCCCCGCTCAGCAGCAATCTGGAGCCGTGCAGGGTCTTGCACTGCCCGTTGCCCATTGCTCAGGACATGAACTGCTCCACTCAGTAGGAGGGGAAAATGAGAGGGAATACTGATGAAGAAGAAGAAGAAGAAGAGTTTGGACTTATACCCTGCCCTTCGGTACCCGAAGGAGTCTCAGAGCGGCTTACAACCTTCTCTCCCTTCCCTTCCCCACAACAAACACCCTGTGAGGGAGGTGGGGCTGAGAGAGCTCTTTCGAGGACTGCTCTTGAGAGAACAGCTCTGAAGGAACTTGTGACTGGCCCAAGGTCACACCAGCAGCTGCATGTGGAGGAGTGGGGAATCAAACCCGCGCTCCTAACCCCTACACCCCTACACTGTTCCCCAGTCTTCTTCCCTGCTAGCATACATAAACAATTGTTAAAGTATATCTCCTGGCTCTACCAGCAGCGGGAATCTTTGGAAATATTTGCAAAGTTTCGATTTAGGATATGAGATGCTTTCTGGAGCGTAAGAAGAGCCCTGCTGGACTGAGGCCAAAGTCCACCTAGTCCAGCATCCTGTTTCCCACCATGGCCTTTGAGAAGACACGAAGGCAGCCTCTCTGCCCTGCAGACTGATATTCAGAGAAACACTGCCTCTGAACATGAAGGTTCTATTTCGTTATCATGCCTAGCAGAGGTGGCTGATCACAGAATCACGGAGTTGGAAGGGACCTCCAGGGTCATCTAGTCCAACCCCCTGTACAAGGCAGGAAATTCACAAATACCTCCCCCCCAACCCCCCACCCCCGTGAACCCTGCTCCACGCCCAGTGTAGCTGTGGTTGGTGGAAATAATTGTGTTTGGCTGATCTTAGGTTTTACGACTCTGCTAAAGAAAGGCAGTTTGCGTATTCTTTCCCCCACGCACCTATGGGCAACAAAAACACTATTAGGAAACCTGGTATTTGCATATAAAAAGAGATAATAATAATAAGAAGAGGAGATTGGATTTATACCCCGACCTTCACAACCCAAAGGCGTCTCAGAGCGGCTTACAAACTCCTTTCCCTTCCCCTCCCCACAACAGACACCCTGTGAGGCAGGTGGGGGCTGAGAGAACTCTTGACAGAAACTGCTCTTTTTCAAGAACAGCTCTTATCAGAACTACGGCTTGCCCAAGGTCATCCAGCCAGGTGCAAGTGGAGAAGTGGGGAATCAAACCCGGTTCTCCCAGATTAGAGTCCGCGCACTTAACCACTACACCAAACTGGACCCACCATCGCACCAGACTAGCGGCTCTCCAGGATCTCAGGCAGACGGCTTCATATTATATACTACTTGGCCCACTAACTGGAGATTCTGGGGACTGAACCTGGGACCTTCTGCGTGCCAAACATATGCTCTGCCACTGAGCCACAGCCTGTCTCCCTCAAGCTGGGGGGTATCTGCACCCCCTCTGTTTGGCGATCCACCTTGGCACATCATGCGCAGGGGGAGACAAGTGCTCCGACATGCCAGTCACACGCCAGAGCTCCGACATGCCAATCACAAAGCCTGACGCATCAGGGCACAAACACACTTCCATGAGTTTCTCCCACACACACACACACTCCCCAATAACCAGTGACGCCAGAGGGCAAGGGGCCCCATGCAAAGCCAGATTTGAGGACTCACTCACTGTGGAAGCAAGGGGTGGGCGAACACACCGCTGGGTGCAGACCCGCCAGGAGACCGGGACGGCTCGGCTCTCGGACTTCCTGACAGGGCTTTTTCTCTCTGGCTGTCCCCTCCCCTCCCTTCCCTGGTCCAGCCTCTCTGTGTGGGAGTCAGTGGCCACGGGGAGGAAAGGGGAGGGCTGGAAAAAGCCTTGGTCTGGAGACTGTGGAGAGGGGGGGGGCTGTGAAGAGGCAGCTGGACAGCTGGGGCAGTCTGATCCTAAGAACATAAGAACATCGGGAGAG